TTATACTTTTACTTTACTAATTATTAACAATTCTTTTTGTATTTTTGTGAATATGTAGATAGTTTGCTTTCTTAAATGATACAGCAGATAACTGTGTTGTGGTTTTGGCACAATGATCAAAGTTTCTCAGGATGTTTCCAAACCTTTGGTGTTTTTTAAATTTAACTCTGGCTCGTTACTCGGGCTGTGGTTCATCTGTGCAGAGTCTAACACAGTAATCACACTCAGGACCACAACCTACAGTTACATACAGTGGAGGTGATACCTGTTGGATCTGTTTGAATGTTTTGTATCATAGCTTGGTAATCTGTTTTAACCAGTAAGACCAAACTTGGTAATCTGGTCAAAGTGGCTGGTAAGATGTGCTGCGCTGCATCTCAGACCTGATCAGGGAGGAAATCTATAGGATTTATATATAATGAAGATCAGAGATCAATATCATATGTTTTTTGTGTTTGTCAGAAATGTAAGATTCATAGTAAAATTGGCTGATTAAATTTTAACTGATTTTTTTTTTGTTAAAAAGCTTTTCTGCTGTTTCACAGTTTTTTGAGTAATTTACCCAAAATATGCTTCTATCAGATTTTGGTGGGAAAGAAAAGGAAAATACACGAGCGCAGTAACACAGACTTACTGCCCAAACTACAGGCAGACCAATCATTCTTCAAGGCTTTTTAGGAGCCGGAAAAACCTAAAATTAGTGAGCAAAGCAACAACAACACCTACAAACTTAAAAAAGGAAGAAAAAACAAAGAAGATACGTGAACCTTATGGCTCATCCTCCTTTTGCCTTCTGGCTCCAACGCGATGATCCAACTGCATGTGGTGACATTTATATGTCCCATTCAAACCAACATCAAGATTTTCCCTGATTATTTAGCTCTTTTAATTATTATTATAGAGGACTTAGGGCCGAGAGGAGCATTCAGTAACAAGATCAAGTTGCGGTAAATATGAGATGGTGAATTTAAGTAAAATAAGTAAAACTGTGTGCAGATCATAACTCAGTTAGGATGACACTGCTGATACAAATCTGTCATTTTTGTCCTTTAATATGCTTAAAAATAGGAGAAAAGGCCAATTCAGAACTTAACTGGGGATCATTGGATTTGGACTAGTAGACGCTGTGTGTAAATAAATGGCTATTATGGATGTTCAGGGCAACCAATTACTTAGTCAAAATGGACTAACCAACTGGTTGAAAGCTGAGAGACACTCAGATATTAAGTTAAATT